GTCTTTCTTTTTTTTTGTGACAATTGCATCTGTTTTGTTTCAAATTCTACTGCTTGCCTGAAGGAGAAACTTTGTGCATGCTGGTTTCAGGCAAGCTGGTTGCATCTATTTCTTTATAAATAAATGCATGGTTGACATACCATTTGTCTGGTTGATATGCAATTGAGTTTGTTTTGACTGATCTTTCTTTCCATACACTGTTTTGTTAATAGTTTCTTCTTATGTGATGTGCTCCCTATGAACTTGAACTTCCACATTTAATGTCTCTTAAGATGTGCTTCTTGAGCAGGAATAGCAAGGCTTGGAGCTAGATGCTTGTCTGCAGTACGTGCATATGACAATGCAATTGAACAATTGGAGACACTAGATGTGGCTCAGTCAAAGTTTGATGATATTCTAAATTCCCCTTCCTTGGATGAAGCATGTGAAAAGATTAAGAGGCTTGCCAAGTCAAAGGAACTTGACTCATCCTTGATTCTTCTGATATATAGATCTTGGGCAGCAGCAAAAGAATCTACAAGTATGAGGAGTGAGGTGACACTTCGACATTTTAATTGGCTTAGATGTTATTCGGTTTTAACCTTTTGAAATAAAGTGATATTGTGTCTTAGAATATCACTGAAGTTGTATCTTCTGCTCATCAGAATATAACCAAAGAAGGGCAGAAAATATGCATGCCAGTCTTTTGTAACTTTCTGTTATTAGCATCATATGTCTTGAGTATGAATATTTGGGTCATAGAAATTGTTGAACCCTGCAGGTTAAAGACATAATGTATCACATATATATGACAACAAAGAGAAGCCTCAAAAGCATTGCACCACCTGAGATAAAGCTACTCAAGTATTTGTTGAACATAACAGATCCTGAAGAACGGTTTTCAGCACTTGCTACTGCTTTCTCTCCAGGGGACAACCATGATAACAAGGATTCTAATGCTCTGTACACGTAAGCCATTGTTCTCTTTTTAACGTCCTTATGATTATTTGATCTCCCACATTATTTGCTTTCAAAGTCAAATGGAAAATTGCTTCCCAAATAACATAAGAACTCCAGGTGTAGAACACCATCTGATTGCTCAGATTGGGTGAACCAATTTAATATTTGACTGATTGACAGCCAATTGATGCAAAAGTTAACTAAAATATTTGCCATGCTCACATATGTTATCCTACCTAAATTTAGTAGATTGTTAAGTCTTCAAACGTGTTCCAGATAAATGTTAATGATGCGCCATTATCTTAGTATTTTCTGTGGCACCTGTCATGCTTTTAGTTCTAGGTACAATGTTCTGAAAAATGCTTATGTCAGGAAACTGAATCATAACTTGAAAATGCTCCCTCCCTCCCTCCTCCTCTCGCTCCTTTGTCCTTGATCTAAGCATGAAGCCAAGCTTTCCTTATTGCCTGAACTACTTTTCCTGTTTTTCTTCTCAGAACTCCTAAGGAGCTGCATAAGTGGATTAAGACAATGCTTGATGCTTACCATCTGAACAAAGAGGAGACTGACCTGATGGAAGCAAGACGAATGGGTGATCCAGTGGTAATCCAAAGACTTTTCATTTTAAAGGAAACAATTGAGGAAGAATACATGAAGCAACTTTCGGAGAAAGAAGACCAAGAAGCAAAAGAGTGAAACTTATGTATCTGTGTCTCCATATCATTTCCAAATCAACACAGGATCTCAACCAAGAAATAGCTCAATAGTTAGTTTTGGCTTTGGTTTGTTGCCAAGTTGGATATTCCAAATCCAGAATATGGCTCTAAATGTTGCACAGCTCTTTTCTACTACGAAAGAATGCAAGAGAAGTGATGATGGGGCGATTGGTCAGATGCTGCCACCCCGATGATAACTGTAGAGTTAAATCCGAGATGTTCGAGCAGAGAGCCTTATCAGTTGACCTTCAGTCAGAAATGAAATAATAGATAGCTCACATATTTTGATTTATATAATCAATCTTATGTTTTGTGTGGTACATTCAGTTTGTAGCATTGATGTGTAAGGTGATAGTACTTGCGTTTTGATTTTGATATTAACAGTCGTACAGTTTATAGGTTAATGATTAAAGGTGGTTCTTCTTGTGCAGAATTTGTTTTTGTTTTTAGTTTATATTTCATCGTCCAAAGTTCAAATTTCATGAAAATAAGGAAGATCCTCATTCGGGTCTTCCAGTAGGTGTAGTCCGTCCCATTGAACATGGGTGGACATGTAATAGAGTGGCCCTTTAGGTTTTCGACGTATGTCATCTCTCTTAGGTTTTAATCCAATTGAGAGTTAATCCCGCTCTGATACTAATTATTAGGATCAAGAACACTAAGAGAGGTGGAGGGTGAATTAGTATAGCGGAAAATTTTCGATAATTAAAACTGCGTTCGTATGATAAAAATAATTTCAATGCGAAAGTCGATTCGAAAAGTTCTTCAATTCAAGATATAGTGAAGTACAGTTGAAGTAAAGTCATGGAGACAGTTTGCAGTTAAGATAAAGCACAGAATGTAAATGTAAATCGAGATTTAGAGTGGTTCGATCAATCTTGACTTACATCCACTTCAATTCGCCAAGGAGACAGTTTGCAGTTAAGATAGAGCGCAGAATGTAAATGTAAATTGAGATTTAGAGTGGTTCGATCAATCATGACTTACATCCACTTCAATTCGCCAATTTGTTATATAGTAGTTTGCGATGTTAATGTAGAATGATCGATATGGTGCAAAGCTGATTCCTGCGTCAGATCTATCATTTGAGCCGTGCAAAGCTCAAAATGGACCAAACCTAAACCAAACCGGCTTGAACCAGATCGGAACTTAATGAACCGCTTTTACTGTGAGGCCATCTAGTTAACGACGGATACTGTTCCGTTCCGTTAGCCCGACCACGCCGTCCCTAACGTCACGGCGCCAACCGAACAATTGGAATCCGCTCCGTCGCCGTCGGTCTTAACGGCGCCCTTAACAGCTCACCAACACTAAGCTAATTAAAATAAGCAACTCTTTTGCATATTAGTCCTCGCATACTTTTTTATAACACAAGACCTCGCAATCTCGTTATTTTATATCATTTCTGCCGGCTCTCATTCCTTCCGCCTCCCTTTGCTCCGTAGCGAGGGGAACAATGTCGGTAAGAATCGATATCCTCTCGTTTCTTTCTCGATTTGAAGTTGCTAATCTGGGTTCTTGGTTGCTACTTTGATCGATTGTGGTTCGGTTTGTCTGATCTTGTGGCGATTGATGTGGTCTGGTAGAGCGTGATCGATTGTGGTGTGTGATTGTCGCGATTTCTTGGCTTTCTTGATACTGTTTTGGACGCTTTTGTATCTCGTTCTCTCTTTCTCTCTCTTGTGATCGGTTCGATTGAGCGGAATAAATAATCTTTCCCGTTCGTGTCTACGGGATCAGATTGCCAAGCTCTTTACGAAGATTTCCCGATACTTATCATGGATGTTGTTACGAACTCGAATATTATTATTGTTGACCCAAAATAACAGTTAATTTCATGGTCATGCTAATGTGTGTAATCTCTTTTTCTTTCAAATTTATGTTTTTTTTTAGAAATCTATGGGTTTTGGGTTTTTCTCTGTTTTTTTGGGGGGATTTTATCTATTTGAGAAACTTCATTTAGACTACTTTTCCTGCTTTGTTCATGGCGAAATTCCACTTCCCGTGAGGTGAAAATTGTCATGCTTTTTTCTTTCTGTACATGTAGTAGGCTTGTGGTAAAGAAACGTCTACGAGTTCAAACACAAAAGCATGACTTGGGTAGTAGTTGTATTCTGTTTGAGGCTAAAGGGGTTTGAAGATGGGTTTAATGACAATCTCAATATTTTCTGTAGATATATCTTGCTATCGAGTTTCTATATATTCTTTCTTGGATATAAGGCCCAGCTACTTCTATAAAATTAGAGCTTCCACGACAAAGGGAGAGATGACTCTGAGTCTTTTCTTCTTTAACTTAAATTTTGAACCTTCAGTTTTGGTTTTGCAAAATTTAACAACATATTGGTGGTATTTATCGGTGGCAGACAATGATCGTGTTCCACCTTTCAGCATTTTATGCTGTCCATTACTGAGATACACCATTCACTAAGTCAAATGTTGATATGTTATGCTAACTTTTATTGTTGAAAAGAAAGATTGTGTGTTCATCTTTGGCTCTGGCTTCTCGTCATACAGAGTAGCAGGTTCTTGTATCATACATGCATGCTATAAAAATGAAAGATTTTTAGGTACGAACCACGAAATTCTTATGATCTTAGCTCTAAACTAGTTTAGCTTGTTAAGAATAGCAAAGAAAAGCCGGCTCCAGTAGAATTATGTTGCATACCAGTTCAGTTATAGAAGATGTGACGTGGTAGTTAGAGGCTTTGAGCCTTGATGTTATTCTAGAGGAAGCATGGAGATTAACTGAAATAAAAAATATAATAATTTTTTGGTCTCGTTTGTTTGGAGGAAGAATGGAAATCGACACAAGATGTAAGCATCAAGGATCAGAAAAATTAAATGTATAAGGGTTTTTTCTGAGATCCCAAGGCAAAATCCTGTTTTAAGGTGATCATTTGGGGTCCTCTAGTAATCATGATTGTGATCCTAAACAGATTTGTCCCTCTTTGCATTTTTCTCTTGAATCATATCTACTGAAATCAAAAAGTGTATTAAGATGGACAAAAGCCAATGAACTGAAGCTACATTACAGATGAAGCAGCAAACTTGCATCAGATGGCACACGCAGGGCACCCATAATCATCCGTATGGATTAAGCATTATAGGTATCAAGATGAGATGTTAGATGAGTTAATTCAAGTTTATATCAGGCTAGCGATTTATTATATGTTACCGATGATTGGAGAAAAAGGCCTAATTGTGCATAATGCTGTTTAATGGTCATATCAATTTCTCAATGGGCACCAATCAGGCCTTGTATACAAGCCTATCGTTTGGTTCGGTGAACACTTGATGCTTGAGTAGATTTAATAACAACACGAGATTGAAGACTTTGCTATATAGTTATCTTTATTAAATATGAAACGAAGTCCTCTTTAGTTTTGGCGTACACAGAATTATGTTTCTAGAGTTGTCGATTCCATTTGTTGTGTGTATTTTTTTATGAAAATCCATCCATGTACAGCATAACCATGTGAGTCAAGCGGCTACCTGATGTAACATAATCATGGTTCATAACCAGATTCATTTGCTGCATGTAATCTTCATCGTTACTGATGAATGTGCTTTGACATCTATACCATGTTAGTTAGTCCGATGACCATGCTGCTGCATCTTCATTCGTATTATGAAGTTCTATGTTTTTGAACTCCTTATGCATTAGGTTTTCTGTCATCATTACTACACATGAATATGTTTTGGATTTCAGCAGGACAAGGGTCGGCCCTTACCCAAGTTCGGTGAGTGGGATGTTAACGATCCTGCTTCCGCAGAGGGATTCACCGTGATCTTCAAGAAGGCTAGAGATGAGAAGAAGACAGGTAGCAATGCGCGAGAAACAGATTCTCCTGTAAAGGAGGAGACAGCATTTAGAAACGAACCTAATGCTACCAAGCCTAGTACGGTAAGCATAAATTCTATGCATATCTATGAAGCATTCTGCAATGAGTTTGGTTGGTTATTAGCTCGGCTCCTTTTGCCATAATAGCAGACAATATTAGGGCTGAAATATATAGACAGTAAGTTTATCAACTCCGTGGCTGCAGAAGAAATGGTTTTGCTGCATGCAACAATCAGCTGAAACTTGATGGCCGGGGCTTATGATTTATATAAGGTACCAGACAGCCTTGTAGCGTTTGGAGTTCCTTTGGATGTTTCTATCAGAATTAGCATCACAGGGAAGACATTCCACGGGGACTGGGGAAGGTGGAAAACCATGGCTATCGTTTCACCACTATGTATGAAATTGCCACCGGAGGATATATCAATCATAAACTAAGCTTGCATTTTTGTTTTTATTCTATCTATTGTCCCATCATTTTATCAGTGATGCTGCTGCTTTAGTCTGCCGTGGACGTTTCTGTGGTTTTCGATTCAAGAGAGTTCTTATATTGCTTGCCTATAGAGTTCTTGTAGATGCCTTCTTTTGTCCCCTTATTCTTTAGAACAGTGGCTAACATGTTTAAAATAATATTTAAAAACATTTCTTAAAAATAAAAGTTTCAAAAAATAAATGATAATTATATGTCTTAATTAAGAATATCCCAAATGAAAAGAGAAAAGAAAATTAATGGGGTGAGAAAAATAGGGAGAACCACGTTATGAAGAAACAATATCATCGCTTTACGCACCATCAAGAGGAGAATTTATTGGGTGTTAAAAGTGACACAACCAAATTCCAGCAGGTCCATACTCGAACCTTATCCCCATTTTTGGCACATAAAAAAGCTACAACAAGAACGAACACTAGTCACGAATTCTCCAATTCCGAAGCTCTCTTTGGAGGCAAGAGAAAAGATTACTTCTGGATGATTGACTTTATTTTGATACATCTTTACCGAACAGCCCTGATATCGCCTTCCCAGGGTCGACCTGCTTGATGAGAGACTCTCCAACCAACACCTACGATGAGAAGTTATGCAAGTCGTCATGCAATTGTACCGATGAGGAGTAATAAAACATTCAGCAAATAGTTACACTTCCATTGTTCAGTTACGAAGTTCAAGACTATTATTAATGATCAGCACACACTTCCATTGTTCGAGTACAAAGTTCCAAGTCTAAGCGAAACTGATCATGCAATTGTACTGATGCAGACTACAGTTCAAACTAGATTATAACATCATTTGAACCAAAACTAGTTGGGGTATGGCTAGATGGCCAGTGTGTTGCCAACTAACTGTCTGATGTCAGCCCGCTAGAACTTTGACACATTCATGATGGCCTTGCCATCGGGCCTGGCGGTATGTACCAGCTGGGGTATGGCTAGATGGCCAGTGTGTTGCCAACTAACTGTCTGATGTCAGCTCGCTAGAACTTTGACACATTCATGATGGCCTTGCCATCGGGCCTGCTTCACTAGTATATGTTCGCTAGATGTGTCAACTTACTAATCA